TTACCAATTCAGTTGTAAAATACAACTCTTATCATTAAATGCAGTACATTTTAAAAGTTTGAGAACAAAAAAGGATTTTTCACTGAACAACTTACAAAAGAATATTAAATATGTTCTTTTTATTCAGTTAGAACTCTGTTCTTGGTCAGGAATTTCTCTATACCAATTATTTTTGCCACCCTGCAAATCGAATCATTCTCTAAATCAACTTTCACCACAAAGTCTTCCTTTTGACAGTGATTGGTAAACCCTTATTTTCATTTTGCGGGTTCCCTCTCCTTTGGTGCTTTGTCCTGCTCAGAATTTCTATCTTGTTGTTGTTGGCTGTGACAGGGCACATGCGCTCACAGGAGAGAGAGGGTAAGTGATTAACCACCCTTAACGGGGATGGCCACACTACAGTCCTTGCTCCTCCATTCTCATCTCAGGATTTGAGGAATGTACATACACATGCCCTGCATGTTTTTCAAACTTCCAGGTCCGAAACTTCAACCTCAAAGTTGGCTAGGTAAAAATCCAGCTGCCTTAACTTCTGTAACACCTCTATTTACTTTTTATTGATATAATTTAGCTGAGTTGTATTTGTTTAATTATGAGCAATCACTTAATCAAACCAGTTTTTAATGGAAGAGATAGTTCATCTCTAGGAGATAATTTAATATAAATGGTTAAAAAATCTTTCAGAAAGTGTTATACGTAATTGCGTAACTTTCTATAGTGCAGTATATGGAAAGATAAAAGAATTGCAGGGTGCGCTGGAGTCTGGAGAGTCATTCTGAGAAAATTAGGATTCAATTCTCAGTTGAAGTGGCATTCAGAATTAAATCATGTGTTATTTCCAGATTGAGAAAAGGAAAGAGTTAAATAGAGGGAGAAGAAGATGAAAAAACAAATCTAAGGAGAATTTGGAGAAGTAGTCGGAATGAAGTTTGCCTGGAGATTGGAGTGTGGAGCACGAGGAGATGATGCTGAGAGAGAGGAGAGAACGGAGAGCAAAGATATTCTTGTAGGGATATTTACCACCATCGACGATGAACGACTTTGACATTTTTCCTAAAAATAAAAATGTTGGAAGGATGTCAAATAAAGGAATTGCATAATCGGTTTTCTATTTCAGATGTTTTACCATGGTTACAATATAGAAAATTGGAGGGAAAAGTGTGAAAACTCAGAAACTAGATAGGAAGTATTGTGGTAATTTAGATGATAGATGATTGAGGTTTGAACTGGGGAAATAGCAAAGGAAGAAACAGAAAGAGGTATGTGAGTTCACTGGGAGCCAGTGTTAACAAACATTCACTGACAATTAGGGAAATTAGTTGAAATGCATTCTTGATATTAAAAACAAAGACTTTGTTGAAACTGACTATTAGTCATTTAAGAGTTTTTTACTACCTGGCCTATGATTTTATTTACATTCTGGAAATGACAGAAAATGAAAAACTTTTATAGTTTTAGATTTTATGACTTGAGACAAAATAACCAATAAAAATAATACGTTAAACATTATTTTTCATCAAATAAAACAAGTAATAGGACAAGGAACAGGTAGATTAGTTGGAAACCTAAGATTGTTTCCTTTATCTTCTTAAAGAATCCCATACAGTCTCAAGATTGGGAAGATCAGTTCCATTCCATATGGAGTTTTCTTTTTTTTTTTTTTTTTTTTAAGAGGATTTTTCCTATAGGGAGTGTATGCTTACCAGAGACAGACACAGAAAGGAAGAAATCACCCTCTGGGAGGGTAGCCACCCCACAATCTCTTCTCTATTCTCCTCTCAGGATCTTCGGCATGCTTGCACTCATAAACCAGGCATGAGATTTTAGCCAGTGGATCCAGGACATGAACTGTGGTAGACCACATAGGAGTCCAGTGACATAATCATTATGCCATCTCAGAGGGTCCTTTTTAAAGCTTCCCTATGTGCTTTTAAAGCATATAGCCTGAAGCTTCTTAACTCTCAAAGTGTATGCAAATGAGCACAATCTTCTTAAAATGTAGAATCCAATTTGGTAAATTTAGAAAGAATTTTTAATAAGTTTTAGTAAGAAATTCTTCATTTTAAATAAATTTCCTGTTGTTGCTGATAGTCCTGCTTTTTGACTACTTTGAGTAAGAAATATCTAGCTTGCACTTAAAACAGTTCTTAGTTTTTTTTTGTTTTATTTTGTTGAGAGATTTTCACTGTAGGGCGCGTGCACTCGCCAGACAGACAGAGAGAGACATAGAGACAGAAAGCGAGAAATCACCCCCCAGGGGGGATGGTCACGCCGCAATCCCTTCTCCTCCATTCTCCTCTCGGGATCTTGGGCACGCACGCACACGTGCCCGGTGTGAGTTTTAAGCCACCGGGTCCGGGACACGAACCGCAGTCGACTACGTGGGAATCCAGCGACATAGCCATTACGCTAACTGCTGGTTCCCTGTTCTTAGTCAAACCAAGTTACTGCTAAGTCTAACATTACCGCAAAATGAGGCCCTACTGTTTCCACAACATAGATTAAATCAAAAGACTCCATCTTTATCTTTGTTATACACTGTTATTGATCTTCTAATCAGAGAGCTGACTTAAGCTCAAATTCTCTCCAGAAAAAGAGAGCTAGATATGGTTACTTCTCCTTCTGTAAGACTCCTTACATTAATTTGAGATAATTGATTGTTCGGCACAATTCTCAATAACTCCAAGTAAATTAACTGACCAAAATAAGTATATTTAGTTAAGTTAAAAAGTGTCAGTGCAATGTGTTTGTATTTTCTTGTGTTTCTTTTTACAGTGTTTTATATTTTTACCATTAATAGAAATAAGGATGGTTTGGGATGAGCAGGTGGAGTAATGGTTACATCTTTGGACTCCCACATAGTCACCTGTGGTTCAAGTCCCAGACCCAGTGGCTTAAAACTCATACCAGGCACATGTGTGTACATGCCCAGAATTCTGAGAGGAGAATGGGGGAGAAGGGATTGTGGCATGACCATCCACCCTGGGGGGTTATTTCTCACTTTCTGTCTCTCTGGTGAGCACATGCCCTATAGCAGAAATATCACTCTGAAAAAATAAAGAAGAACAGAAAGAGACAGAAATAAGAATAGTTTAGAATAGTATAACTTTACATTCAGAAGAGCTCATTCCATTTTCAATGTTTGTGATATATATGTATGTGTGTGTATGTGGTGTTTTGGACTGGGTTTTTCTCTGCTTCAATTCTTTTGTCTCAGCCTGTTGAGTAGTTGGAACCACAGGTACATGCCACCACACCTGACTCTTTTAGACAGGGTTTTGTTGCCCACGTGGATTGCTATCATACTGCCTTAGCACCATGAGTAACCAAGACTGCGGGTGCATCTTCCGATATCCAGGCATTTAGGGTAGGTCAGGAATTGAACCCAGGCTGTCCATGTTGCCTCAAACAGCAATACCTAGCATTTATTACCACAGCTGGGCCAAAGCTATTTGTATTGTTAAACTGAGTTAAAAATTTAGAATGAAGGTGAAACAGAATGTATAATTTTGATTAATGACTAACAAAATCACTAATGAATTCGAATAGTTTTAAGTTTGAATGTAACTCATTCAAAAAGCTTCAGTGATTTTTCAATTATTTTGTGTCTGGTATTCTTTTAAAAATAGAAAAAGAAACTACAAAGCAAATATGATTGCTTGTTTTCATTTCCAGAGGACATGTGCACTCACCAGAGAGAGAGAGAGAGAGAGAGAAAGGGACAGCCAGAAAGTACCCCCTAGTGGGCTGTGGTCATGCCACAATCCCTTCTTTTCCATTTCTCCATCATGTTGGGATTCTGGACACACCTATACATGCACCCAGAAGTTTTTCAAGCAGTCAGCACCAGGATTCAACTCCTACTTAGTCATGTGGGATCTGAGTCCCTTAAGCATTAGGCTATGGTGTTGGAGTTTTATGTGGCATAAAGCTCAGTTAGGAATTGTGAGAAAAACTCTAGTTGTGTCATACAAGAAATATTTATGCAATTTGCTTGACGTTTTGTGCAGTCGTTTTACAGTTGAATACTAACTGATCAGTTTTACTCTTGACAGAATAATGGGCCTCTTGTTTTGGGAAAGGTCACTTTCTTCAAGACAGCCAGCAGCATCAAGAGAGAGAGACACGTGGAACCATGAGAGGAAAGGGGACAACTACATAGGTGGTTTGATCTGCTGATTCAGCCACAGCAATCAATGAGGTGACAGATGCCACAGCCGGGTCTCCCTCACATCTCATTACCATTGAGAAACTTCATAAAGCATTTCTTTCTACTCATAGTCTATCCTTTCTATTTATGTATTTGATTCATACAATGGAATCAAAGGTACATGAATAATTTTGTTTTTCTAATTATTTGTCCATTAGCAATAAAGAGTCTAGAATTTTGCTACTATTAGAAAAATTGTTGATACAAATAATTTGTAATGACTTTATTAAGTTAGAAAAATGACCATATGGTTATCTTATCTAGTGAAACTTAATTGGTTTAATAAAATTATTTTAAAGAAAACACTATGATAGAAATAAAATCATAAAAAGTAAATAAGAGTTGGGTTTCTCTTTTATTGTCTATATTTTTAAGATTTTTCTTAAATTTCCTGCTGTTACTAAACAAATATTATCTGAAAATATGTTTCATTGATACATTTAATTTTAGGTAATCAATTTATAATATTAATTTAATAAGCAGGGGACTATTTTCTCAAATAAAGTAGCTAACACTATTTGCACAACTAAAATCCATTCAGGAGTCAACATTCTCTTTTACTATATTAACACACAAATCTCTAATGGCTAAAACCTCATATTTTATGAAATTAGTTTTTTTTTTTTTTTTCCTTTGCCATTCTAGTGACTTTGGGATAATCCAAGAATTATTACTATTTGATGAGAAAAATTATTGGCCTTTTTATTATTATAGTAATGAGGCCCTGAACCTGTTACTCATCCCAAATATCTTTCTAATAATAACAATTAAAAAAAAAAAAAAAGATTGGGTGCTCACTTTAGCAGCACATATACTAAAATTCAAATAATACAGAAAGACTGACATGACGTTTGCACAAAGATAACATACATGTTTCTGAAGCATTCATATTTTTTTGGGGGGGAGAGGTTTTTGCTATAGGGAGCATGCGCTTGCCAGACAGAGAGAGACATAGAGACAGAAAGCGAGAAGTCACCCCCCAGGGGGGATGGTCACGCCACAATCCCTTCTCCTCCATCCTCCTCTCGGGATCTTGGGCATGCATGCTCACATGCCCGGCGTGAGTTTTAAGCCACCGGGTCCGGGATGCGAACCGCGGTCGACTACGTGGGAGTCCAGCAACATAGCCATTATGCTAACTGCTGGTTCCCAAGAGGCATTCATATTTTTATTCTTTTTTTTTTTTTTTTGAGAGAATTTTGTTATAGGGTGTGTGCACTCACCAGAGTGATGAAACAGAGAGATAGAAAGCAGAGAATCACCCCCTAGGGGTAGGGCCAAGTTGCAATCCCATCTCTTCTCATCTCTTCTTGGGACTTTGTGCATGCCTGTACACGTGCCTGCTATGAGTTTCAAGCTGCCGGGTCTGGGACTCAAACCACAATCAGCCATGTGGGAGTCATGTCGTAACCTTTATGCCAGCTGCTGGTCCCAATATTTTTATTATTTAATTAAAAACTAATGCAGTTGTGTTCTCTTTTTACAATGAGTTGGACAATGCCTGGTTTTATTTATATGAATAAAAAGATTAATATAATGCTGTATATATGAGAGCTCACAAAAATAAGGTAATATAATTTTAAGAAATTTTCTTTGTGTGCAGACAAATCCTATTTTTTAAAATGATGTGTATTTATCTTTCTTTCATTTTAAACTTAGCTTGTATAAAAAAGCACCTTTCATAAAGTATCTTCATAAATTCAAAAAATTATCCAGACTACTTATTGTTCATTGCCCAGGTCTATGATATCGTTGTTTAATTCTTCATTTTATTTTGGCTACGTGGGCTTGATACTAATATGGATATCTGAAGTAGCTGTAGCATTAATAACACTTGATTTATAGAGTTAAATCAAAAGAAATTCCGATTTAGATAAGAAGAGACTATTCAGAAAGACTTGCTGTGGAGAGACTATTCTGAACTCAGGCACCTGCTTGTGTCTCAGAATCAAACAGAAAAAGTTTTGTTTTTGTTTTTGGGAGAGGGAGAGGCAAACAAAGCTTTGCAAAATCATGTAAGAGAAAGTTAGGCAAGCAAGGGTCATGAGTAAGAAAAAAGGTGCCATCTGACAGAAAATGCAATTCGTGTGTTCTAATATTAAACAAATATTATCTGAAAATATGTTTCATTGATACATTTAATTTTAGGTAAACAATTTATAATATTAATTTAATAAGCAAGGGACTATTTTCTCAAATAAATTAGCTAACACTTGCACAACTATACTATACTAACATTCTTGGGGTAAGCTAGTCAGGTAGAAACTGGCTAGACAGTTAGGCATTAGGAAAATCATAATGCAATGCTGTCAGAAAGGGGATAACTTAAAGCCGGAGAGCTGAGTACTGCTCTTTGAAAACTTACATTCCCTTTCTCCTTAACCCTTGTCTTTCCAGGCCCAACTATGACAGACCCCCGGCCCCCGACCTCCCCCCACCCCCCACACACACACACACAGGTTACGTGAAAGAGCAATTAGAGTCAAAGTCCAGGGTATGTTAATTTCTTAGCTCCAGAATCTAAGTCTGATGGAAAGCCAACCTGGGCCTGATCGATACTCTAAGATAAGCCCCAAATCCTCAAGAATAATATCAGAGAAAATTACTGGCACCAAGGGACCAAAAATTGCACCCATACTTCAAGCCTAAATAATTAAAATCTTTGTGGCTATTAATCAATATTTCCGTGAAGAAAAAAAAAAAAAAAGCTGTATAAAAATTAAGGTCTTTGCTATATGAAGGGCTACTCATTTGGGAACTCTCTTTTAAATTTAAAAATGGAGACAAGTTCTTTTCACAGAAGGAAAAGTCACCCTAGTGTAGCAGCTCCAAAAGAAACATCTTGAAGTAGTCAATGACTCAATGATTGACCTAAAACAAAAGCTTTTTTTCTGGTGTCACCACATTCCACATTCTTTTTATCAGAAAAGAGTCTCCTGACTTTCATATCCACTGCAAAAACAGGAAGACTAACCAGACCCATCTAACATGTGACCCCTACCATGAGTGGAACGCATGTGCAAGAAGGCAGAACAAAGCCCCTCAGACCAAAATAAAAACCTCTCATCTTAGTTCCTCTTTAGCAACCCATTCATTTCTCACTCTCCGCTTGGGCACGCTGTTCTTCCTTACCTCTCTTATTAAACTCCACTTGCCTACCTTCATCTGTGTCTAATTCCTTGTGAGCTCTGGACAAGAACCCACATACCTGACCACCCTGCACTCCTGTGTTTCTGTGTTACTAATAAAGAGGCAGAGTCTGCATCTTAATACTTGTTCAGGAGTGGGGAGAAACCAAAGTTCAGGGACTTGAGGGAAATAAAGGAGCCTGACTAAAGTTTGGTCCAAACAAAGCAGACAATAAGAAATGAGCCAACATGAACACTTGGTCAGAATGACAATGGTATACACTTCTGTGTGTGTGTATGATAAGTGCTTCAATCAGTGGCTCAGTGTTTTACTTTGCGATAGCTAACTCAGTGTGGGTGGTCTGTAATTGTGGTATCACAGAAAAATACTTTTGGGTCTTTGTCCCCAGTTTATGGCACACTATTCCCCAAACCATTTGACTTTCATGAATGATAAAAGTGATAGCTTTCTTTCTTTGTTTTGTAATGAGACAACTTTTGGTGGAGGCTGGTCACCAGAAAGACTGAAACTTGTAATAAAATGTGGAACTGTCAACCCAATTGCTAACTTCTAAGGGAGGGAGAAGATCTGGATATTGGGTTATTCACCAATGGTCAGGGGTGACTAACTTTCTGAATCCCAGGGTTTGGAAAGTTTCTGGGTTGGGAAATACACGGAGGTGCTGAGAGTGTTGTGCACCCAGCTCCACGCGCACCTCCCCATTCCTTTCTCTGCATCTCTTCTTCTGGCTCTTCCTGTTGTGTATCCTTTTTAATAAACCAGAAAATGCAAATAAAGTGTTTTCCTAAGTTTCGTGGACTATTCTTGTAAATACCTGAGGAAGGGGTCATGGCAATCTCTAATTTATAGTCATTCCCTCAGAAGTAAAGGTAACACCAGATCTGCAACTGGAATATGCTATAGAACCAGCCAGGCAGGACCAGACCCTTTTAACATGTGAAAACTGACCCTATAGTCAGGTGGGTAGTGAAGGATATGAATTAAAAATGAAAACTGTTCCTAAAGCCAGGTAGGTAGTGAAAGAAATTAATTAAATTGTTGGACATCTAGCTGGTGTAACAGAATCAGAAGACTAGAGAATTGGTTGGTGCAGGAGAAAAATCAATAGCATAAAATCAACAACTCAGTCTGTATTAAAGTTAGAATGGGTAGTTCTTTTTTCCCATGCTCAAGTTTCATTATTAATCAGGCCCATTGCATGAGTCCTATTGATCATAAGAGATTAAATGAGGGAAAGTTGTTTAAAATTGTTACAAGCTATTCTCCCGGGGAGAAAAAGAACTTTGAGCATATATTCTACAGATGATGGGCTAGGAGTTTTAAATTTGTATATGAAGGACAGCATATTATTTTCATCTTTCAAGTACTTGGAGACTATTATCATATCTTTAGACAACTGATGCTTAACTAAACAATACATTTTCAGTCCCTACAATCTTTCTTCATAACTCAGTGAGTTGATTCCATTAATCATCCCAGTCTTCTCAGAATTCTTTCTAAATCCCTGCGTGCATCCAGTATTAAGGTAAATAAAGCAGAAAGAAATAAATCTAATGTCACTAGAGTCACAAGCTCCAAGTAATAGATTCATTCTTACTCTTGACTCAGGCTGCTATAGCAAACCTATCAGCAATGATTAGGAGGTCCTGGGTTTCCAATTGCTGCCCAGCTCAACTCTTAGTAGGGGTGGATGTGAAGAGTGCCCTTTCACGTGAACTCAGCTCCAGCCCAAGGAACCTCCAATTCTCACCCTCCAATGACATAAAAAAGAAGTCATTGTCTCAGATGATAACTCCATATAAAGATAGCCTTATGACAGTACCTCACGATCTCCTTTAATCTTTTTTTGGTTTTCTGCAACCAAACTTTCCTTCCCAGTCTAATTAAGTGATTGCATTTTCTCCCTTTATTTAATTGCACGATGTAGACTTTAATCCTTTCTTATAATTCTTTTTATTTTTTTAAAGATTTTTGCTATAGGGCAAAGGGAGGGAGAAGATCTGGATATTGGGTTATTCACCAATGGTCAGGGGTGACTAACTTTCTGAATCCCAGGGTTTGGAAAGTTTCTGGGTTGGGAAATACACGGAGGTGCTGAGAGTGTTGTGCACCCAGCTCCACGCGCACCTCCCCATTCCTTTCTCTGCATCTCTTCTTCTGGCTCTTCCTGTTGTGTATCCTTTTTAATAAACCAGAAAATGCAAATAAAGTGTTTTCCTAAGTTTCGTGGACTATTCTTGTAAATACCTGAGGAAGGGGTCATGGCAATCTCTAATTTATAGTCATTCCCTCAGAAGTAAAGGTAACACCAGATCTGCAACTGGAATATGCTATAGAACCAGCCAGGCAGGACCAGACCCTTTTAACATGTGAAAACTGACCCTATAGTCAGGTGGGTAGTGAAGGATATGAATTAAAAATGAAAACTGTTCCTAAAGCCAGGTAGGTAGTGAAAGAAATTAATTAAATTGTTGGACATCTAGCTGGTGTAACAGAATCAGAAGACTAGAGAATTGGTTGGTGCAGGAGAAAAATCAATAGCATAAAATCAACAACTCAGTCTGTATTAAAGTTAGAATGGGTAGTTCTTTTTTCCCATGCTCAAGTTTCATTATTAATCAGGCCCATTGCATGAGTCCTATTGATCATAAGAGATTAAATGAGGGAAAGTTGTTTAAAATTGTTACAAGCTATTCTCCCGGGGAGAAAAAGAACTTTGAGCATATATTCTACAGATGATGGGCTA